TTTGCACATGTCGAGGAGCGTGTCAGGCTACATTTCACTGTGTATTATACTTGTATAACTATGCATGTGACAAATAAAGAACCTTGAAGGTTGCTGGTTCAATCCCATGCTCTGTCTCTCTGTGTCCTTGGGCAAGACACTTCACCTACTTAGAGATAGCAGCCTTGCTTCTGTCACTCTGCCCCAGGGCAGCTATGGCTATAAATGTAGCTTGCCTCCACCAGTGTGTGAATGTGAGAGTGAATGAATAGTGGAATTGTAAAGTGCTTTGAGGGTCTTGAAAAGTGCTGTAAAAATGCAAAGATGTTATTTATTTTACTGCTCTTTGCACTAAATCACACTATTGATTTAGGTTATGCCCCTCAGCAGCCCCTAGTCCCACATGTGGGAAATTAGTTTTGTTACAGCAGAAAGTGGACAGTGCAATGTTGCAGAGCAAAAATTAAGAACAAAAAAACACTGGAATAGAATAGGAATAAGATACTGTACACAATAGAATTGAATAAATACATATACCATATACAACAAAATAAAATACAATGTTGTTAGAAAAATAGAATTGCACTTTGTGCTATTACACATCTTTGGATGTGTGTGTTTGGTCAGCTGCAAAGTCTTTGTTGTGGAGTCTGACAGCAGTAGGAAGGAAAGACCTTCGAAATCTCTCCGTCCCACATCGTGGGTGCTGCAGCCGTCCACTGAAGGAGCTGCCAATTAACCTGACCTGGTGAGGTGTGGATGAAGACATACCTGATGCAGGCTTTTGGAAAGGCACACCAGTATTTGCATTAGCTAAATTAGCTGGTACCACAAACTTATTCATGTGATACATTAAAGGGGTGGACCCTGGGCTCACTTTGTGAGGTGATAACCAGCCTCGTGTGACCGTTTATCTTGATCTCCAATGTCAGGGTAAGTGAAACCTGTAACAGATAACTCACTTTATAATATAGGGTCCTGGCATTAAGCAGAAATTAAACAAAAATAGAAATAACAGTGAAAAAAATACAAAACAAAAAATAGAGGCAAGAAAACCTATCCATGAACCTAAAACCATAAGAGGACTCTAAACAACAAACTAAAGGATAACAATCAAACGTGAGGTGTGTAACAATAAACATTAATTCAAAGTCTAAAATACTAAGACTTCCCAACCATATCAGTGAATGCTTTTAAATTACATGATTGTCTCCAAATAAATGAAAAACTAAATAGGTTTTTAGAGGCCTAATTTTCTCAATGACAAACTGCTGTATGCTCACACTGTGTTTTTACAGTTATGGTATTACATTACATTTCTAAATGGCACTCACATGCTACATCAACAAAACTGAATCTTCATCAGAGATTGTAAACAAAGTCCAGAGTCTGAATCCTGGGTGAACAGGTTCAGAGAATCTGGTTCTGAAGGTGTACATGTGTTTCAGTTTGTTACATGAGACGACATAGTAAGACAGAGTTCCTGCATGCCAGTCCAGAAACACTCCTAGTTTGGGACAGCCATCAGGGAGTATGTATATTTTTAAGCCATTATGTACTACAAAGTACCAAAAGCCTAGAAGATACCTGCAACTACAACTCCAGGACTTTTCATTGTACCCAAGCTTGCACATGTCACTGTTTCCTTTCCTTTCAAGTTGGCTGTAGCAAACGCCAACAGAAACAACAGCAAGCCAGGAAGCACTCAAGTCTAGCTCCCAGTAACAGCGCCCATTCAGCTCCTCTCTGCACAAAACCTGAGGTAACTTACTGAATCTCTCAGGAAGGTCAGGATATAACTGTGTCTTTCCTCTTTTCACCTTCTTGTTTCCTTCAGACAGAACGAGTTCACAGTGTGCTGTGTTTGGATCCAGGGTGAGGTCACGGGAATCTGATGGAGAGAACAAGACCTGATCAATTTCGTTATTGATGACGATGTCAGTGACTCCTCCTTAATCTCTGTCCTCAAACCTCAGTGATAGGTTTATCTAGGCACAAACTTATTCCTGGAACAACCAAGACAATCCACTACAATGGCAAAAGCAACACACACAACACCAGAGCTCCTTGTGTGATCTCGTGCACGAGGGAGACTACCGAGACCAAGCCTGTTCCAACCGCTTGAACCCCAGTCACTCATATGACATATGACGTCTTAAATAGGCATACATGTGGACAAAGAGTACCGGTCTGTGTGTACGTGTAGGTATGCGTGTGTGTGTCAAAGGGTGACCCTGTGAAGGCTCCTCAGACCTGTTGGCGCTGGGGAGTCCTGCAGTTCATCTAAACAAAAGGCTCTTATACTTAAACAGATACAGATGTGGTTACTATACCATATTATCAGAAAGAGATGGTACAACCTCTCTCATGACCTTAGGATATGTGTGGTATGCCAGAACACTCAGAAAAAGGAGTGAACGTACTCCTCTTTTTATGGTACACAGAGCCTTTGCAGACTACTAAGGATCAGACCTTCTATCATTATACAATCGATTATATACCTCTAAGCATATATGATTATGTTTGTTAGTACAAATGACAATTCAAAAATATAACCCTAACACTCAGCTTGTCTTCGTAATCTCTGATCCAATGAAGAAATACTTTCAGGAGAACTGAAGGGAAGATCACGATTCTCTCCTGCTAGTCATTAAGATCTTTGTACAAACTTTAATTATGATGATGGATTTAATTTTATATGCATGTTTCTCCCCCTTAAAAACTCTGCTTCACAGTTTACTGCCTTTGATTACAATTCATACTTTTCATCACTGCATCTTATGCGAAAACATGGGATGGTCCTCTTTAACTGTGGAGGTCTGGAAGGAGCAAAAATGACAAAAAAATAATATATTTTTTTTATTAAATACAACCAGCATGTATTCAATCTGTCAGTCTTAAAAACTTTTCAGGCGGGTGCCATGCTGAGTGGAGAGGTTCTGTGTTTACATACATGGAGAACCAGCTGCATTTACTTTCTGATATAATTTTCCATTTTTAATTATGCTGCTATAGGTGTAGGCTGCTGGGGGATTCCCATGATGCATTGGGTGATTCTTCTTCACCCTCTATGTGTTAATAGACCTCTCTGCATTTAATTATTGGTTATCATTAATTTCTGGCTCTTTTCCACAGCATGTCTTTTGGCCTGTCTTTCTCCCCTCACCTCACCCGGTTGCGGGAGATGGCCGCCCCTCCCCGAGCCTGGTTCTCCTGGAGGTTTTTTCCTCTTAACAGGCAGTTTTTCTTTCCCACTGTTGCACATGCTCAGTGGGGTCACCTGATTATAGGGGTTTGCAATGTTGTATCATTGTAGGGTCTTAGCCTACTTAAACTTAAATTGAATTAACCCCAAAGTGACAAAAGGGAAAGTCAGTTATTGATTTTTTACTACCATTGGTCTTTCCTTCACAGTTTCAGATAGATATCAACATCCCAAAATTGATCCTGTGACCAGTTAAAGTTGTAACCAATCACGCTATTGAGGAAAAAATTTTAAACCATTCTTTGGCAGAAGGGAGAAGAAAAAGTGTGAAAGTACTTACACCACATCAGATCACTTCTGTCCCTCACAGTTTCCACCTCATTGATAGCAGGCCCCAAGAAATCATCAGTGACCAGGTCAGTGTTCCTGTAGTGGTAGATACTTGCTCCTTCGTATTTGTCATTTCCAATGGCTGCTACAAGGCGATAAAATCTGCTGCTATCCTTCAGAAGTTTTGCTTTTTTAATCATTTTGGCTCTTACACCATCAGAGAAATACCATTGATCCTGGGCAGGTGGAGTGTTACCACTGCCCAGTTTCATTTTATCCAAGTAGTCAGACATGTTCTGCAGATATGGGTGAGTGGATTTCAGGGAGGTGAAAGCAAAGCAGAGAACTTCCTTTTCTGTATTAAACACCTCTCTGTCAAGCTTGGACTGATCTGAGATGATCTTTATTCCTTGCAGAATTTTTACAATGCAGCTGATGTTGTTGATTTCTTTCTCTTGATATTCAATCCACTTGATTAATCTCTCCTGACTGAAAGGTGACTTGTCTCTGTCATCAAACACTTTCACTAATTTCTGCGTATCCTCTTTACCTTCCCTGATGGAGAGAAGTCTCTCAGCCATTGTCTGCTGGAGTGAAGATCTGTAATACTCGCAGAGCTTCTTGAATCTGATCAACTTTTCTTGTATCTGTGGAAAGGTTCTCACCACTATGTCCTCCAGCAGATCATTGCATCTTATTTCCACATTATGGAGATCCTGTAGGATATCTTCAGCCTTTCTAACAAGTCCAGGATTGATCTCTTCAATCCTCACCTTGGCTTTGAGATGCAAATCCTTCAGTGGCATCAGTGTGACCTTCAGTGGGACACCATTTTCTTTGTTTTCTCCCAGTAGTTTTGGAAGTTGGTTGACTGTCTTCACTGCATCTTCAAATGTTACAGGGTTGCTTTCAAGAATGAAGTCTCCATAGAATTGGCAGGTGAATTTATCAGTCACAGCTTTTTCTTTATTACTCAGCTTGATGTCAACTTTCCCATTAACATTAAATGAGGGGATCTTGTTTATCACAGTTTCCATACTAGCCTGGGTGTCCTGAATGCTGCTAGCATCCAACTTCTCACTGTCAAACACAACGAAAGCATTTGTTCCATAAAGGATTCCTGTGACTACATGTGTTGCCAAACTCCTCAAATTATCTGTTAGTTTAATGTTCTTGATTTTCTGAGGATTCAGTGTCAGCTGTTTGAATTTGGTGGTAGCTTTGTAGTGAAGTGTGACTCGACTCTGATGTTGAAACTTCTTCTTATTAAGCAGGTACCTGGCTGATCCTCCAACTTTAACCATTCCAGACAGGACACTGAGCTTCATGGAAGAATCAACATCCAGCAGAGAGGACTTGGATTTAAAAGAATCAGATTTAATGACATTCAAGTAAGTACTAGGCTGGTCCTGCTCTTCTGTTCTTTCTTCTTGACTGCTGTCATCCCACAGCTTCACACCTTTAAAACATGAGATCCACAAAGTGGTTAAAAAGAAATACAAATTCCTTAAATATTTTTCCAATAAAATACAGGCAGATCTATCAAAACCATTAGGACAATGGCACAGTCTTGTACGATGTTACATCTCTCTTCGTTTGCATCCCAGTCACGGAAGCGTTGGAGGTAGTTCGTAAGAGTTTACAAGATGACCCCAACCTCAGCAACAGGACCACTCTCAGCATGGACCAAGTGTGTTTGCTTTTGGAACTGTGTCTTCATTCCACCTACTTTACATACAAGGGTCAGTTTTACAGGCAGAAACGTGGGTGTGCCATTGGCTCCCCAGTTTCACCCATCGTGGCCAATTTGTATGTGGAAGAAGTGGAAAAGAGTGAACACCACCAAGTAGGGATGGGTATCGTTTAGGTTTTATCCGATACCGGTGCCAAAACGGTACTTTTGAAACGGTGCCGGTGCTCAAACGGTGCTCAAACCGGTGCTTAAAGAATGGAGAACACAAAATTGGTCCAAAAACCTCTCATGTTCAGCTG